CAGCGTTTTTACATCCAGTTCAACACTGTTCAGGTCTTTATCAAGTTCACCCTCGATTATTACCTTATCTTCCGGAGACACATTCTGCCCGGCCCATACACTTTCATCGATATCCGTGACAATGGTTCCGCTACTGTCGCGAAACTCATAACGATCATCACCCAATTTTTTAACGATGTGCCCTTCAAGGATAACCCATGCCTCGTCCTTCTGTTCTTTTGCCTGCACTACTGTTGTTGAACGCTCTGCTTCAGACCCCAGAAAACCTCCCTGTTGTGCAAAAACGCCAAAAGACACGCAGGAAAAAAGGGCTGCGATTAATACTTTTTTCATTATCGTCCTCTTCAAGAAATTAACATGAACACTTGCATTGCAGCATATAAAATGCGGGTGCGTTGAGGATGCCTGACACATCAGAGGTGGCGAGGGATTTCTCCCTCGCCTGGTCTCTTACTTCTCAGATTCGTAGTCTACGAAGACAGCGACCTCCGTCTGGCCGGTTCGGATTCGTACCTCGCAGAGGTCTTTCCTCGTTACCAGTGCCGTCACTATGACGGTTAAACAGATGACGATCAGGGCGATTAACATCGCCTTTTGCTGCTTCATAGCCTGCTTCTCCTTGCCTTTCGGCTCGTAAGAGGCTAACCTAGATTTACCGTTCATAGATTGAGCCTCAGATTAATGTTAAGCGTCTTGCAGGACGTGTAATGTTAACTGGGGCTTTTCTCTGTCTGCCTTACGGTGGCATGCCCGAGGCAGACAGCCTCAAGCACCCGCAGCAATTCTACTTAACTCTCGCTTTACCGCAAACCGTTTTTACCCGATATGGGAATCCCCATATCGCAATGAAATCAGTTTCCCATCCGATCCATCAAAAACACAACCAGGCAGTAAACGCCCACAACAGAAATAACGGCCAGCGCGCCTTCCATTGCCAGTGAAAGATCATCCGACATATTCCCTCCTTTGGTGTGAATCCCGGCGAACGTTTTTACCCCCACCGACAAATAACATATACTAAAAAAGCGATAGCCATAGCAACGCCTGTAATTGCAAAGGCTTCAGGCCAGTTCATCGTAAAACATCCTCCACACTTATCAGTCCATTTCGCTTCAGATAGTCCATCGCCTTATCCGGTAATTTGCAGTCCAACTTCGCTTTCTTCAGATGCCTGGCTAACTGCTTTACCAGCATGGTTAACTCGTAGACCGAACGTTGATACTCCACTGGTTTGTATTCATGCAATTTACCAACTGGCTCTGCTTCCAGCAATGCCAGTGCAATCCGTGCCAGTTCCATTTGTTCGCCACGGGTAAGTCCGTTATCAAGCGGATTTTTAATGAATAATTCGATACGTTCTTTGGTAATAGAATTCATGCTATTTCACCTTAATCTCAACATTTCGCAGCTTTAACTCTATTGGTAGGTCTGACTTTCCTGTTAATGCTAATGCGAGATTTTCAGGAGTAATGAGAGCAGTTATTGTTTTCTCCATCGCCAGACGAATAATCATTCGTATTTCGCGATCGTCACATGCTCCTGGTCGAACAATTGATATTTGTCCGTTCATCTCACTCTCCTTTGATGCGAATGCCAGCGGTAATTGAAGCCTGATAGCTAATTTCACTCACAGTACCGCCTCCTGAAAATTACCCTGATAGAAAGCCAGTACACGCCGCATAGCTTCGCTCTTCCGGCACTCGCGACAGATTATGTTCTGTCGTCTGTTGTAACGACGTATTTCTCCGTCTGGTAATTACCAGATAAGCTCAGGATCAACCACAACCGGTTTCTTCACCTTTGCCCTTGATAGTTTTTTGCGGGCGTTTTGCCAGTCTTTACGCGCCTGCTCAGACGGGAATAATCCGTAGCCTGAATTGTAAACATCACCACTGG